TGGGCATCAATCCGTGGGCCAATTGCACGGCCAACGAGTGCTGGAACAAGTTCAAGAATGGCAAATGCAACGAGGAGTGCAACAATGCTGCATGCCACTACGATGGCCACGACTGCGAGCGGAAGCTGAAGAGCTGCGACAGCCTCTTCGATGCCTACTGCCAGAAGCACTACGGCGATGGCTTCTGCGACTACGGCTGCAACAATGCGGAGTGCAGCTGGGATGGTCTCGATTGCGAGAACAAGACACAGTCACCGGTTCTGGCCGAGGGTGCCATGTCCGTGGTGATGCTGATGAATGTGGAGGCATTCCGTGAGATTCAGGCCCAGTTCCTAAGGAACATGAGCCACATGCTGCGCACAACGGTGCGACTGAAGAAGGATGCCCTTGGCCACGACATCATCATCAACTGGAAGGATAATGTGCGCGTGCCGGAGATCGAGGACACAGACTTTGCAAGGAAGAACAAGATCCTCTACACGCAACAGGTCCATCAGACGGGCATACAAATCTATCTGGAGATTGATAACCGCAAGTGCACCGAGTGCTTCACACACGCCGTGGAGGCAGCCGAATTTCTGGCTGCCACGGCGGCCAAACATCAGCTGAGGAACGACTTTCAGATACACAGCGTGCGGGGCATCAAGAATCCCGGCGATGAGGACAACGGTGAGCCGCTGGCGAACGTTAAGTACGTGATAACCGGCATTATACTGGTCATCCTGGGCTTGGCCTTCCTTGGCATGGTCCTGAGCACGCAAAGGAAGCGGGCGCATGGCGTCACCTGGTTCCCGGAGGGATTCCGAGCACCGGCGGCGGTAATGTCACGTCGTCGCCGTGATCCCCACGGCCAAGAGATGCGTAACCTCAACAAACAGGTGGCCCTGCAGTCGCAGGGTGTCGGCCAGCCGGGTGCCCATTGGTCCGACGATGAATCGGATATGCCGCTGCCCAAGCGGCAGCGCAGTGATCCCGTTTCCGGTGTGGGCCTGGGCAACAATGGTGGCTATGCCAGTGATCACACCATGGTCAGCGAGTACGAGGAGGCGGATCAGAGGGTCTGGTCGCAGGCCCATCTGGATGTGGTCGATGTGCGTGCCATAATGACACCGCCGGCGCATCAGGATGGCGGCAAGCATGATGTGGATGCACGTGGTCCTTGCGGACTCACGCCCCTAATGATTGCGGCCGTTCGTGGCGGCGGTCTGGATACGGGCGAGGATATCGAGAATAACGAGGACAGCACGGCCCAGGTGATTTCCGATCTACTGGCCCAGGGAGCCGAACTGAATGCCACCATGGACAAAACCGGCGAGACATCACTGCATTTGGCGGCTCGCTTTGCTCGTGCAGATGCCGCCAAGAGATTACTAGACGCCGGTGCGGATGCCAATTGCCAGGACAACACGGGCAGGACACCGCTGCACGCTGCCGTGGCCGCCGATGCCATGGGCGTATTCCAGATACTGCTCAGGAACAGGGCCACCAATCTAAATGCCAGAATGCATGACGGCACCACGCCACTGATACTGGCCGCTCGTCTCGCCATCGAGGGCATGGTGGAGGATTTGATCACCGCCGATGCGGATATCAATGCAGCGGATAACTCCGGCAAGACCGCACTCCACTGGGCAGCGGCGGTAAATAATACGGAAGCGGTGAACATTCTACTAATGCACCATGCCAACCGGGATGCCCAGGATGATAAGGACGAGACACCGCTCTTCCTGGCCGCACGCGAGGGCAGCTATGAGGCGTGCAAGGCGCTGCTGGATAACTTTGCCAATCGCGAGATCACCGATCACATGGACCGACTGCCACGCGACGTGGCCAGCGAGCGACTGCATCACGATATCGTTCGGCTGCTGGACGAGCATGTGCCGCGTTCTCCGCAAATGCTGAGCATGACACCGCAGGCCATGATCGGATCCCCGCCGCCGGGCCAACAGCAGCCGCAGTTGATCACCCAGCCGACGGTCATATCCGCTGGAAACGGTGGCAACAATGGCAACGGCAATGCCAGCGGAAAGCAAAGCAGCCAGACGGCCAAACAGAAGGCGGCCAAGAAGGCCAAACTGATCGAGGGCAGTCCCGACAATGGACTGGATGCCACGGGCAGTTTGCGACGCAAGGCCAGTTCAAAAAAGACAAGTGCGGCCTCAAAAAAGGCCGCCAACTTGAATGGGGGCCTCAATCCGGGCCAGCTGACGGGTGGAGTGCCGGGTGTACCGCCAACGAATTCAGCGGCACAAGCAGCTGCAGCAGCGGCAGCGGCGGCAGCCGTGGCGGCCATGTCCCACGAACTGGAGGGATCACCGGTGGGCGTGGGCATGGGCGGGAATCTGCCCAGTCCGTACGACACCAGTTCCATGTACTCGAACGCGATGGCCGCACCGCTGGCGAACGGCGGCAATCCGAACACGGGCGCCAAACAGCCGCCGAGCTATGAGGATTGCATCAAGGTAAGTGTGGATCACAAGTGGCTCATTACAATTATTAACGCAACCATATTATTACTATTGCAGAATGCGCAGTCGATGCAATCGCTGCAGGGCAACGGCCTGGACATGATCAAGCTGGACAACTATGGCTACTCGATGGGCTCGCCATTTCAGCAGGAGCTGCTCAATGGCCAAGGACTCGGGATGAATGGCAATGGCCAGCGGAATGGTGTCGGGCCCGGCGTTCTGCCCGGCGGCCTCTGCGGTATGGGCGGTCTGACTGGTGCCGGTAACGGGAATAGCCACGAGCAGGGACTCAGTCCGCCGTACTCGAACCAATCGCCACCGCATTCGGTGCAGAGCAGCCTGGCGCTTTCGCCACACGCCTACTTGGGTAAGTTTGTGCTGCTAGAGTGCTTATGTATGTATTAATCATATTTATTTGCACGCTATTTAGGTTCACCATCGCCGGCCAAGTCGCGACCCAGTCTGCCCACCTCGCCCACCCACATCCAGGCGATGAGGCATGCCACACAGCAGAAGCAGTTCGGTGGCAGCAATCTGAACAGCCTGCTGGGCGGCGCCAATGGTGGGGGCGTGGTCGGCGGCAGTGGCGGCGGCGCTGGTGGCCCGGGGCCACAGAACTCGCCCGTAAGCTTGGGTATCATCTCGCCGACGGGCAGCGATATGGGCATTATGCTCGCCCCGCCGCAATCCTCGAAGAGCAGTGCAATAATGCAAACGATATCACCCCAGCAACAGCAGCAGCAGCAGCAACAGCAGCAGCAGCAGCAACAGCAGCAGCAACATCAGCAGCAGCAACAGCAGCAGCAGCAGCAACAGCAGCAACTCGGAGGCCTGGAGTTCGGTTCAGCGGGCTTGGACCTGAATGGATTTTGTGGATCTCCGGGTAGGGCATCGATGATTGTAGATGCATTGGTTTTGATCTCTAATAATTTCAACATTTCCCACTCTCAGACTCATTTCACTCGGGTCAAATGAATCCGCCCTCGATACAAAGTTCGATGTCCGGCTCGTCGCCGTCGACCAACATGCTGTCGCCGTCGTCGCAGCACAATCAGCAGGCCTTCTACCAGTACCTAACGCCTCCGAGCCAGCATTCCGGCGGCCATACGCCGCAGCATTTGGTCCAAACGCTGGACAGCTATCCAACGCCCTCGCCGGAGTCACCTGGCCACTGGTCCTCCTCATCGCCGCGATCGAATTCCGATTGGAGCGAGGGCGTCCAATCGCCGGCGGCCAATAATCTCTACATTTCCGGTGGCCATCAGGCCAACAAGGGATCCGAGGCCATCTACATTTGACCATAAGCCGATAATCTGGATGATCTGAATGATCTGGATGATGGGATCGAATAAGGATAATTGAATGGTTTGCCAAGGATAACAGCAGAGGGACTCTTAAAGAGTCCGCGGCTACGTTCTATCTAAAATGCTATATATTGTAATTCTCTAAATCTCTACGATTATGTATTTTTTCACGTGACTATTTTTTTTTTTTTGTGTGTGTCTATAAGTTTTAGATGTTAGATCAAAATGCGCACTTCTAGCGGAAGAAGCGTCATAAATTGTAGTAACTTAAATTATTTTTATGCTTGTTGTACAGTGCGTGCCGATCGCATATATATATATACATATATATATATAGATATAGAGATATATATATCTACTCATAGATATTCCAGTTAAGAGCTCGTTTTGTGGCGCATTTTATCTTATTGTCGTAACGTCATCGTAGCTTCCAGTAAAGAAAACAATACAAAACAAAAAAAACCAACATAAGCAGACAGAGTTAGAGGAGAAACTACACTTAGCGCAAATTCTGATTGATCGATTAAACGTTTGTGGGGCATTTGTAGTTGTAAGTGACCATTATATCACTAGGCCATAAGACTACGCTAAGTTTTTATCGAATTCTACATTTAATTATGGCCCAAATGCTATAAAAATAATATATATAAATTTCATAGTTCTGTAGGTTTTGAAACTGAAGTGCTTATATAAACAAAATTGTTAGACGTACACCGCATCAAACCTTTTTTTTTACACCAAGTTTTTTTTTTATTATTATTATTATTATGACTATTATGTATTATTACATATTGACTAAGCTAAACTGTAAAAAGATTCTCATAACTGTTTGATTTAAGTTGACAAATACAAAACAAAAGGATTTGCAAAAATTACACAAAAATCACCAACGGAAACGTATAAGTCTAATTAAAACAAAAAAACGATAAAAGCGAAAAAAAAATTCATGAAAAAGACAGTAACCAGCCAAGTTTACTATATATATAAGGCGCCTCTATATTTTCTAAGTTGATGAATAGATATTTTCAAAAAATATACAACAGAAAAGCACACGCAGATACGATTTTCTCGTTCGATTTGCTTTAATTTCTTTCGTCTATATTTTGTGTAAGTTTTTAATGTGTAAATTGTAAAATTACTTGTTTTCCTAACTTAAACAGCCAGACAGCAAAACAAAACTGCAACCTTTTTGAGATAAATAATAAATATTAAATAATTATTTTAAAACTCGTGTGTTTATTTCATTCTTTTTATTATTCTGCTAAACAATAACGCACTGTTGAAACCGCGAATTCTTAGCAGTATTTAACATGTGCCTGGAATTAAGTGTAACATTTGCATACATATGTATTTTGTGGCTAATGGAACTCTGTGAAGTTAACCTTTAACCCGACACGTACCCGCAGGAAAAGAGCAGCTTTTTCGCGTGGTGAAGGTGTACATTTAATTAAAGTTAATTACTCCCCAGCGGCCACGCCCCCTAACCGACCGCCGCCCACCACACATCGCATGTTGAATAAGGTGTCTTTTTTTTTTGTTGTGTAGTGTAGTGTGCGTGGTTTCTGCGCTTATGAACAAGGTCAAAAAAAAAGTTATAGTTATAGTATTTGGAACATTTCGACTAGATCTCCTTCTTGGCTTCCGCCGCCTCCACCTCCGCCGTCAAGTGCGGATTTTCGGATACCGTGAATTCTTTGGATTCTGTGGACTCCGTGGCATCGCCATCACAGCCGCTTGTCTGGGTTTTCTTGGCCCCCGGCACGAAGGGGCAAACGCCGCCCTTGCACTCGAAGGGGAAGTCGGGACCCGTCTTGATCACATTGCCATCGGCGTCCTTCTTCTCCCAGGGATTCCAGTAGCGCAGCAGTATCGGCTGGACGAACTTGTGCCAAATGTACAGCAGCAGTGGAATGATGAAACAGGGCACGCACACCATTGTTTTGGTTACTGAAAACTGGGGCAAAACTGATAGTTATTGGTGTTTATGTGATTGTAACGTTTGCGGAACGTACCTATTTTGAAACTAGCTTACTGGCTTACTGGTGATGTTATGGCCCAAGGGCGCTTTGTTTTCCTTAACTTAATTGCTCTTTATTTATTGGCAAAAAATTGCAGTGTAACCAGTTATTATTTTGTTATTGGTTTAAGGCCTGAATACCACGAATATACGGTTCTCTTGGAAAAATACGCACCCGCTAGCAGAGACCGCAACCGGTTAGACTAATCCAGCGCGGACTCGAACCATTGCTAGCTGGCTTAAAATATTAATCCTTTATACATATATACACACTTTGGCTTTTCCTTAACCCCATCTAATACAGCATTGTAATACAGTTAAAAATTGTTGTCATATCAGGAATTTATTTCATTTGCAGCATGTTAACCCATCAACGGGCAGCGGTAGGGAAGGCCAGAGCGACAACAGTACTCCCTGCCAGCCTGCAGATTCGTATTAACCCATTGGTTGTTGCAGTTCTTGATGAACAAATACGCCCGTTCCTTGTGGCAATCGTGACCCAACGCGGAGCACACTATATTTGCCGAATTTGGCAGGTGTTGCACGATCTAAAAAAGGCACCGGTAAGTCAAATGATGGGTTTCGCCCAGTGCTCACTGTACAGTACTCACCGTCTCCAGGCATTTGGTTTGACACTGCTTGCGACCGATCGCATTGCAGGGGAACATTTGGTCCAATTCCTGGTGGATTAGCGGCTTCGTGGGCAAGCCATTGGGTATTTGGGAGGAGAGGAAGACGCCGCAGGTGCAGGGAACTGGCTGATTATCCTGGACGGCCACTCCAGGTGTCGGTGGCGCGGGAATAGCGCTCAGCAGGCTGCTGCTCGACGGTGTTGTGCTCGATGGTTCTCCAGAGCTGGTGGATCCTTCCGACGTTCCCAAGTGGGGCGCCTCACCAACTGGCGATTCTGTGGTGGCAACGGATTCCGAGGTGGCATCCAAGTCGCTTGGGGGCGTCGTTATGATCACAAACTCAACAGCCGTGGGCCAATCCTCTGCGGCGGTGGTGGTGCTGCTCATGGTGCTGGTTTCCAGCTTGACAAGCTTCGTCTTCACCCGTTTGTCCTTGATGAGATTACCCATCCCGTAGAGCGGCTTCTTGTACACTATCTTGAAGGCCTCCAGATGGATGGCTAGCAGAAGCGTCAGCAGCAGCAGCGAACTCTTAAAGGCAGCTGAAATATTGAGTATTATGATAGGAAATTTTTTGGATAATACACCATTCAATGCTTACCCATCGTGGTATCTGTGAAACACTGAATACTTCTGGTGTTGCGCCATCCATTTTATATGCCATTTCTTACTGGGCTTGCAGTTTTTCAAGATTTTTTGAGTCTTCCATTTAAAGCGACCCCCAACGAAGTTCAAGTTGTGAGAACCGACAAATTGTGTCAGGGTTATGCCTGAATAAGCTGAATTTGCACGCAGCAAGTGCACTTCATTCATTTGGAGGAAAGTGAGTGGAAAACACAGATTACTTCCGAAATTTAAGGGGCATATTCATATTTCTTAAGCTGATTAACTAAAAGTTGTGGTTTAGCTGCACAGATAATCTCATTCGATACGAAAATCGTATTTTTAGAAAATTGAAAAACTATCCAGCACTTTATGTGCTCGAACTACTTTCCAAAATCGTTTTGAAAATCCCGCCAAAAATTACAGAATATTCGGTACCAGGATTACCAAGGGATAGCTAACATAAATACGACGAAACAAGCAGAGATCGTTATTATACAGAATTTAACAAGTGATACGAGTAATTACAATAATTGCAATGTTTCAAATCAATGCAATACGTTGCTATTTTATCTAAATTTTATTTTCAATACTTTTGATATATTTTTTATGCGCTTTGCAGAACTTAACAGAAATACCACTAACAGAAAATATCGAGCGGCTAACATTTGAAAGAATATACAGCCTTGCGATATGTATAGTTTTTTGTGTTTGACAAACCCAACAATCCAATAGAATTATGCCATAAAAATGTCCAAATTATCATTGTGCCGAATGTGTTAAGCAAAAGAACCGAACCGAGTTTCGATAAACGGTTAACACTCACACACACACATACATCTGTACACTGGCAAAATGCCCGACTACGTACCGGCACGGGGATTCAAGGAGATGGAGAACCTGATCAAGCTGTACGAGAACCAGCGCAGCCCCATCTACATCTACTTCTACGGCGAGAAGGACAAGGCCGGACGCAGCTGGTGTCCGGACTGCGTGGCGGGTAGGTGACGAATTCCCCTCGCGACCATACTTCGTTACTACTTCTGCTTATCGCGCTCATTCTAATTCATTCATTTGCGGTTTTAGGTAGCAAGTAGCTGCATACATTGAGTTGCATTTGATTTGAGTTTTAGGTTCATGCCATTCCATTCGCTTTTCATTGGGAGTAATAATCTCCATAATTTCCATGCAACTTCAGTTACTTTTGATTTTAGTTTTAGGTTCTTGCCATTCCTTTCGCTTTTCATTGGGAGTTGCATCTTCATAATTTACATGCATTTCATCGCATAGTTGTGGCCTCCCCCCTTTAAGTAAACCCCATTATCGCTGATATTTTTGCAGCCGAGGACACCATCATGAGTGCCTTTCGCACCCACGCGCCGGCGGATTGCATGATCCTGGTGGTGGACGTGGGCAACCGGGAGTTCTGGATGGGCAAGGAGAATTTGTTCCGAAAGCCGCCCTACTCGGTGGAGGGCATACCGACACTCATACGCTGGAAGGGCGTGGAGCGGCTGGATGGGGATCAGCTGCTCAAGATGAGTCTGCTGGAGCTATTTTTCGAGGAGACCGATCCGAAGAAGTCCACTTTTGTCGCTCAATAAAATGCGATTTGACTTAAACTCACTCCCACTCTCTCGCTCACTTTCTCTCTCGCGCGCGCTCTCTCTCTCTCTCTCCCCCTGTCGCTGCGGCGCTCTCCGTCGCTGTGGCTCTCTCAGTTTGCAGTGCGCTCCACTCGAAGGAAGGAACGAGTGGAATTCTAGTAGGAGAGGGCGGGGTTGCGAAAATGGTGAAATGGAAAAACGGAGGGGGGGGAGAACGGAATGAGTCGAGCGTTTCTGGCTGGCAGCGCAGTGTTCGGCATTTGCTCGGTTTATTTGCACGCATGTCGTCGACCAGGACGAATCGTTTGGCAGAGCGCGGCTGACAAAGCAAAGGCATCGGAATCGGGGCTGTAACGGTAATAGCGGCACACGCGTTCAACGGTAAACACGCGTGCCTACGCGCCATCTCGCTCGCACGCGCTAATGCCGCGATTTAAGTTTTGTTTTATTTTTTGCAAGTGCTCCAACTAAAAAAAACAACATAAACCCAACAAAACACAAAACCGAAACAGTTCCCAAAAAAATAGGTAAACTCAAAGGAAGATAGCTAAGCATAGCAGATTACACAAATTAACGTCGCATTTGAAGCACACGACCGCACAGTTTTGCAAGGTGATTAACTGTAACTGTAACTGTAACTGGTAACTGTAAACTTACTAAACACAAGCAATGAAGGAAGACATGATAGATCCTGCCGAAAAGTGGATGTCTAAGTGGACTTGTAACGGTTCACCCTGTTGCGTTTTCGCCTAACTGTTCGTTTGTGAGTTAGAAAATAAATATGAAATACAATTGAATATAAAAAGTACAGAAAACAGAAAATGCTAGCCAATAAAACCAGCTCCTAAGGTCTTAACTTTAGAACTCAACTAAAAACAAAGGTATCAAATATATAAACTAAACTAAAAATACAGGTATATAATATACAATTAAAAGTAAAAATGCAGGTATAACATATATAAATAAAACTAAAAATGCAGGTATAAAATATATAAATAAAACTAAAATACAGGTACAGAATATATAAATAAAACTAATAATATAAATAATATATTTATAAATTAATATATTTATAGCTTATAAAATACATAGATATTTGAAAAGTATGCAACAAAGTCAGGTAAACCATTACGTTCAATACTTAGGAAATGTAAGAGCAGGCAAAACCAATTACCATAACTTCTTAGCCACAAAACCCTGTTGCTTCGGCCGCGTTGCATATTAATTGTGCGGGGCAAGACTGTTGCTTCTTGGGCGTTTTCTTTTCTAACTTTTACGTTAAATCATTGACAAATCAATGAATAAATAAATCAGTTGCCAGCGGCAGCCAGTGACAGCAACATGCACCGTGATCCACTTGGCGGCATGGTGCTAAATTATTAAAATCGCAGAAAGATGACAACAAAATGGTTCAAACGAGTCGCGTCGAATGGGTCGAACGAGAAAGTAAAAAACAAATAAATTAAATTAAATTGGCAGCGATCGAACAGGGAGACAGCGAGGAGAATGCTGAAGGTTGCACACATATTATTTTATCGTCTCTCAGGCGCTACAAATTTGGTTTGCCACACACCATATCGTTCTACATATATTATTTATTGGCACTTTAAAAAAATATCACATATTATATGTAAATTTGTTCTTCACTTAATGCCTATGGATATTTTTATGGATTTTAATGTTGCAGCCCAAAAATATGCGTCTATTTTTTCCCATTTACATAAACTGAGTTACTAGTTTAGTTCGTTTAGATATTATGATAGAATCGATTGAGTATGAAAATAATATTTTCCGATCTAAAAGAGTCTTGCCTCCATAGAAACATTGAGAGAAATACATTTGACCTTGGCATATTTCTTGTGGCGAAAAATTAAATTTAATGAGCAGTCAGAAAACATTGGAAATTTATAATAAACAAAATCAAATTCTGATTTCTATGTCTTATTTCTGTGCGGACTGCGTTCTTCTGTCAATTAAAATCAGAAAATTCTTAATGAGGCACGTAACAAGCTAGACAGCTGATCGTTTGCACACACCCCCTCTATAAAGATCGTACCCCTAACGATCCGAATTCAGCAAAATGTCATTAAAGAAGCTCGTAAAAATCCGAAATCCAAATTGCAAATAAATTAAGCATACGCAGAATACAAAACCGAATGCATATATCGAAATTATATATAGTACATAACGTTCTATGCGGATTGGAGATTGAAAAATTCTTTTCTTGGGCTCTAAATCTTTTAACGCAACGGATATTTGGTATTTGTTTATTTCGTTTTTGCCATCCATATGCACCTGCAAAAGTTTCGATTTATAGTGTCATTGAAAATCATATTTTATTTATAATCTCGATGTACATATGTATGTATGTACATACAAGACGAGAATCTTAGGATCTGCATCTCTCACCCGCTTTGTATACTTCATTTATTATTGCTCTTTATATTTAATTGACGCATTTAGTCCATGGGAACAGCAAAAACAAACGTGTAGTGCATATATGAACGATATGTGGAAATTATATCTATAATGATGATATAGCTGATACATGTGGCAGCGTGCACATATTTTATATTTGCTGCGCACAGCTCTGCATATATGTACATATGTACATATATGTATATATATATATTTGCCTATATATATTGAATTTTTATAGGCGAATCGAAATCAAAAATAACAGGCACAAAAAAAATGATATATACGCAAAAATCCAATCAAATGTCACACTTGGTTGGATCTGAAGAGAATAGTGTTATTTTGAATGGTGAGGGAAAGGGGTGAAGCGATTGCGAAACAAAAAATATATATTAAAAATATCGAACAAATAGCGGTAGGATCCAAGTAATCCGGAATGTGGTTGATTTCAACCAAAAGTATGAACAAATTTAAGGAAAGATTTATTTATTTACATTACATATAGTTAAGGTTTATTCACTGACCCTTCTGAAATTCCGATCGTTTGGCCTAGAAAAAAGCAAACCCTATCAATTTTTAACCCTATAGTGCCCCCGCACTTCGCTGCCTTTGTTTTTTTCGGCGGCACTTGCCCCAATTTGGTAATGAGCCATGTGGTGGTCAGCCCCTAGGCATTTACTGACCGATTTCCCCAAATGATTGCGATAAATTAACGTGTACTACCTGAGCGGGGGTTAAGGCGTGCTGGGGGGTGGAGCTGGAGCGAGCTGGAATTCTTATCAGAATGTGCAGAAGTTCCAACTGATACAGCGTTCGGACAAACAAAACCTAAAACGAGACCGAACGAGGCGAAAGTCAAACAAACAACAGAAATAACAATTTTTTTTGCCGGCAACGTTGCTAATGACGACACTGAAAAAGGGGTGTTGAGAGAGGGGGGTGGGGGCCAAAGGGGCAAGGGGTGTCAACTGCCGCGCGCTATTTGAAAATCGTTAGCAACGTCAATGGCAACAAAGTGCAGCACATTTTCTGAAACTGCACTTGGGGGAAAAAAAAAGGACGGCGCTCTTAGGATTTCCATGCATTGAAAACTTTATTGTTTAATCATCTTATTTTTAGTGCTCCCACATTTTAAATGTAGAAGCTAAGCAAACAAGTGCGAAAATAATTACTTTAATTTATTTGTTTATCACTTTATAGCATTTCAGTTAATTCCACCTAATAGCGGTCTGATATCAGGTGCTTGGACTGATATGTTTCGAAAATTGATAAGATATAGGGAATAATTTATTTATTTCATATCAATGAAAAGGGCACTCGGTAATTCAGAATGCACATATAGATACTTTTAATGAATATTTAGAACAATTCATGACAATGAGCAATTCTTTGCTTAGTTTTGATCAGTTTTTCTAACGACTTTCAATATTTTGCCATTTACAATGGATATTTTATTTTTTTTTTATTTTCCGTAAATATAACTTATTCCGTAGCACAAGGAATAACTTATATCTTTTATTAATAATTCTAAGTTATTTCGGGTATTATTTGTTTTGAGGAGCTTCCGTTTCCCGGTCTTCATTTGAATTTCTTTTGGCTTTCGTTGCCACCCCCTCTTAACCCTACACCGCCCCCCTTGGTTTTCTGTTTATTGTTGACGTTGGCTTAACACTTTCCGACCTTTTTTCGATGCGGTTCGATGGCAACGGCGGTCGAAACTCAGAATCAGTCGGGCTGCGTTGTCAGAGCGGTTCTGTTCTGCTCGGAACTCGGGGATCTGTGAATTGGTACTCGGTTTCCGATTCGATTCCAATTGGACACTCGCATATGGACACATACATATGTATGCACAGTGCTATTTGGTGTTTGTTTAATTGCAATTATATTACGTAGTGCCAGCAGCAGTGGCCATAACCATAATAATGATAATAAAAATAACAATAACAATAACGACGGCACACAACAGCAGCGCCCAGCAGCAATAAACAAATTGATTTGTCATAACGAAGATCGGCAGCCGAGCAATAAAATCAAATTAGAAAGAAGCTCGTGATCGTGATTGTGATTGTGATCATTACTGAACAATCCACAACGGCAAACAACAATCAAGATTGAGCGCTGTCGTGCAATTTCTGGCCTGTTTCTGCAATTTTCAGATTTAAGTGCAGCATGTGACTATTTCGCAACGAATTGATCAATTGAAATCGGAACAAGCTATTTGAAATGTGCAAGATTTTGCAAATTGATATAAATTTTTAAATTTGTATAGATTCACAAAAACCACTCCGAAGATCGTTCTTTATCTGGAAGATATCTTATCTTCCAGGCAGCTGCGATAAAGTTATCTAAACAAGTTTTATAATGTATCATAATGATCATTAGATGAGTCTGTATCTTCTGGCACTGATAATAATTGAAAGTGCTCCTCCCCAGAGATCGTTAATGATATGATGGCCAGGCAAGCTTACTATCTATGAGTATCGCTTGAATCATTCACACACTTTTCATCTTCAAATGCTGCCTAACCCACTTAGTTTCCCCTCCTTGGCAAATCAATCAGTTATGAAGTGTGTTTGCTTAAGTGGTTAGAGC